CGAATAACCATTTGACCGAACGTATCTCCAATAATTTAAATGCGCTAAAAATTAAAACTACAATATTACCTACTAGAACTATCCGCAGTTTATTAAATAACACCAGCAACCAACATATTACATCCGATGCTTGCATCTACCAAATCTCATGCAACAACTGTGACTTAAAATATGTGGGTAAAAGATGTAGGTCTGTAAAATCTCGTGTTTTCAAACATAAACCAGATATTCACCTCAGTAATTTAAACAATGCTTTATTTGTACACATAATTAAATCAAACGTACTTATAAATTTTAGATTAAAATAAAATTCTTTTTCCTTTCATTTAAAATATACTCTATTTTAGGAATACGTTTTCACAACATCGCCCACGTGACGCCGACATATTGTGAAACGGAACGCTGATCTTGAAAAATTTCAGTTATTCTGTTTTGATTAGTCTTACTCTTATGTCTATCGTCTTTTCATGTTGACTTGAATATCATCTAATGTTAATTATGTTTTAATAACTATGTCCTGAAGAAGGTCTATTAGACCGAAATGTCTGACGTCGACATTGAAATAACATTAAAACAGCATATTTGCATGTTCGGATTTTTGTTTTTCCATATATTTTTCTTCATACTGTCGGATCTATATCCATATATTTGCTTACATACACACATATATAATTAGCAATAATAAAACAAATTAATAACACCTATCAAAATACAAAAAAAAAATAACTGGAATTTAACATTTTGAAGACCAGCTGAATTTTGGCCAATAAAAGTGCTCAATGGCTAATTAGAGTGATAATACTCTAGAAATTGATTTGTAAATATTGAAAGGAACATTTACTAATTTATAATATCATTAAGAGCTGCATGATGATTGTTGTAGAATAGAACTCAACATACTTCCTGCTCTTCCCTACCTCTGTGAGAACAGACTGCTGCTACTTATAAATATGGCAAGTAGCCACATTAGAGTAGGATTTGAGTAGTATTTGATTTACTCAAGTTTTCCCATTCTATGTATGAGTATTTAATAGACCTCTTCTTGGTTTTCTTTTACCCAGTCTTCTGTTCCTTTGATACTCTCTCCTACTATGACCTTCCTAATTCTTGGCTATTTTGAAGAAAGGTAACATTACAACAATGGTGTAATTTAAATTTAGTGTAATAGGGTAGCAATTGTGCTTTTAAAATACTTTTGTTTTCATTTCCATATATATGTCTTATTAATTTCTGTAAGACAACTAGGAAAATCAAAGTTGAGGAGGAAGAGGAGAAAAGAGGTTATGAAGAATGAAAAGTAAAGAGTAACCGAGAAGATTTATAAGATATTTAAGCTTCTTTGTATCATCTGCTTTTCAGAGAGAAAGCAGATGCAGTGTTGGGATCTTGCTTAATTTTTTAATTTTAAAAATATTTTTGGTACATTTTGATTTGTGAAAGAACAGCTGCATTTGTTTGTTCATCCAAAACCAACAAAAGGGTTTCCCTCCAAATTCCAAGAAGTGAATCTGGAGCTTACCTGTTAGTTATAAAAGGGGACCTTGGAGCTAATTTTTGGAGTTGACAAACATCTGCTGCAGGAATTCAGATTGCTCTGGTCCAGGAAGAAAAACAACATACAAAAAAATTGACAAATGTCAGACAAGAATTGAAAAGAACACCAAAAATCACTCCTATATCAAGGAAAAGTTTTCAGCTGGTGTGATTGTTCTGTTCTTTGCTGTTACCATGAACTTTGCTTGGAGATTAGTATCAATTCTTTGAAAACTGTTCCAAGAAGTATTTTGTCTTTTATTTATTTTATATGTAGTTTTCTTTTCTGAGGACCTTATGCAACATTATAATTTTTATTGTCAAAAGACTTATTTCATCTGCCCTGATAATTTTTACATACATGTTATTGGTTATCATTTGGCACACAATGCACTTAATTTGTGTAATTCTTTCATTTTTCTGTGTTAACAATAAATTTATCGTCTGTTTTTGAAACTTGGTTCATGTCGTTTGTTGTGTGCCCATATAAATTAAATATTACCTCAAACATTTGTTTGAACTATTTTTTGTAGTGTTTTATTACCAAATAAAAATTCCTATAGATTAGAGGAAAATAAATTACATATGGGGAGAAAAGATATAGGCGAAAGAGGAAGAGATAGGCATTCTTATTTTATTTTACCTTTACTCTTTCAATCTTTTAAAGTAGCGGAAGTTTTATTTTAAAAATTAAAAAATCAAAATAAAATCTCTTATCTTGTCAAGAAGCCTGACAAGTATATCATACACCCAAAGATAGAATGAAAATGATTTACTTACCTTCAGTTCAAATGTGGAGATTCCTTAACACTAAGATACCATAAATCTGACCTCACATCACCCAAGAAAAAAAATCTGAGCAACATCTGCTCACATCAGCTTATATTCTTTTTTCTTGACCTTTCCCCTTTAACCCTACCTTTTTCCCAACCTTCCATTTATGTGCCACATTCACCAATCACTTCACAAGCCCAAATGACCTTAAAGATCACTTCAATCAATTCCAAGCCAACAAAAACAAAACAAAATTAAAGGTATGATAAATATCTTGACATCCAGGCTTAACTTCACCCACATGTTATTTCATAGTCATGCATCTAGCAAAATAGACTTCACTCTCTTTGACCATCACGGCATTGCATACTGAACTTTATCTTCTCTTCTATCATCACCAGTCTCATCATCAGCTTACATTATAACCCTTGTTACGTCATGTTATGTCAGAATGATGCTTTTCCAGATAGAAAATCAATACTGAAATGGGTTTAAAATTTCAGAGGCATAGGATTAGTGCTTAGAAGAAAAGCCACCTGGAACTTCCAGGTGATGGAAAACTTTAGGAATTATCTACAACAGTGTATGGAGGTTGATAAATATTGGGTGAGGAGAAGCAGCAGAAGTCAATAAATGTTGGGTGGGGAGGGGCAGTGGAGGTCGATAAATGTTGGATGGGAAATAAAAGCATAGGTTGATAAATGTCTGGTGGGAAGGAGCAGTGTTGGTCGATAAATGTGTGGTTAGAGAAGGTAGATAAATATAGGGTGAGGAAGAGCAGCACAAGTCAATAAATGTCGGAGGTGGGTACAGAGGAAGTTGATAAATGCCTCTGGGGATCAGGGGACTCAATAAATGTCTGTGGAGGTTAGTGGAGGTCTATAAATGTTGGGGAAATGATTAAGCATTTTTGTTTTGTTTTTTAAAGAAAAACTGACATTAGTTTAGTTAGGAAATATAGATATTAAAAAATGCAGATACTGAATTTCAATTACAAGACAAACTCATTGATACGTGTGTGGCTCTTGAAGTTAAATCAATGTCCGAAGTTAATGTAAACACTACTAATAATGAGCCTTGGCTTAATACATCAGTTGAGACATTTTTAATTGCATTCTAAAGTTTGTACATAGAGGAAGCTGGTTTTACCTATACAAATGCAGTTCTTGTGACTAAAACTCACCAATTTCCAACCAAATATCAATGGCCTTGCTATAGCTCATCAAACATATCCTTCCAATTAATGATGTCATCCAATTCAATAACAAGAAACAGGCCCATTGGAAGACCTCATAACATAAGGGAAAGTTGAAATGGTATGTCATAAGAGACAACAATGCCATCCTACAAGGTAACATCTCAGGCAAAAGAAAAGGCAGAGAGAGAGAGAAAAAAAAAATAGACTGACAATGTCACTGAGTGGAAAATCATTCACCGAGGCACTGAAATTGGCATGCAACTGAGAAACATGGAAAGAGATGGTAAGGTGCTCAGCTGCATAGTGAATCTATGACCACACTCAGATGATATCAATTTATTTTTAATGTGTTTATTATTGCCTATATTATTTATGAAAGTTTTCTCATTATTATTATTTGAAAAGCCAAGTCTAGTGTAGGAAGAAAAGTAGAAATTGAAAAAAGAATAACAAAATGAAAAGCTAAAATGAATTTTATCAAGAAACAATAATGAAAAAAAAGGGTAAGGGCATTTCTAACCATATAAGGTTAGAAATACACTTACCCTTTCCAAAATTATTATTGATAATTTTAATACATGCTTGTCAGTTGATGGGGGACAAAGGAGTCCATGAAAATGTTGATGGTCTCAAACATTTAGGAACTCCTGTTGTATATTAAAGCATTAAGCACCATTACCTATTTCAATACCCAAATAGACAACTATTAAATTACATGATCCAGAAGACAACAAGAAATACAACACCACAATATTCAGGAAAAAAAAAGAGTTTTACAACAAATACCAGCAACCAAAATAGATATTCAGCATTTAAACAGTAAAATCAAAAAATATAACAAAATATTAAAAAACACTGACTGAAACTAAATATAAGAATGCTCGATACTATATAAGAAAAACATTAAAAAAAAACACACCTTTCCTATTAATGATGACAACCAATTCAATAAAAAGATATATTGTTCATGTGTTTATTATTACATATATTATTAAGTTTTTCTTATGATTATTTGAAAAAACATGTTTGGCATTGGAAGAGAAATCAACAAAGAAATAACAAAACATAAAGCTAAAATGAATCTTATTGACAAACAATAATGGAGAAAGAAGGCATAGGAACTTTTTCCCTTAAATAAAAATAATTATTGATATTTTTTTTTTTTTGTACATGTCTGGATATTGATGAAGGATCAAGAATTCCATGAAGGGTGTCAATGGTCTAAAATGTTTAGGGATCCCTAATTTAAATGTAAGATACACTCATACTAACACCAAGTAAGAAACAGATAAGCAGCAATAAAACCTATAAGAATAAAAACTTTGTAATCTGAAGGAAATGGACAAAACAGAAGAAACCGTTAGAAACTAGTTCAATTCCAAGAAGATGGTTGACATTAAGAAGACAGCATCAATATTGAAGTCTTAGACATGTGAAGTATTCTTCAACAAAGCAGGGGGAAAGGCTCTTGATTGCAGGATGGAGGGAAACATCACTAGCAAAAACAAGTGAAATCATTTTCACAAATTCTCTTTTGCATACCTGGTTCACAAAGGCCAAGGGCTTCATAGGTGATGAGTTCATTGGCAGAAAAACAATCATGGAGTTCTATCACATCAATGTCCTGAGGATTAATACCTGTGGAATTTAAACAGATCATTCTTTATTTGAAGGTGTACACATATCATTGCCTAATGATTAAAAAATGCATTTATTCCTCTACATAATCTTTCTTGTCTTAAATCTTTTCTTAACCCAATGCTTCTTCATTAATCACATAAGTTGAAAATTATACAGTGAAAATTTCAGATCACAATTCAGCTATTAACTATGCTAGACTATGGACTTTTTCATCTATCTTCAGATTTGCAAAATTCTAGACCAAATTGTTGGTTAGTGATATTTAACACTAAAATTTAGTCTGAGAGAATAGAGATGGTTAATTTAAATCTTGTAAAAAGGTATTTTCAGCATTTTAAAATGGCAGAAAGTTGTGGAGAACCATGAAACCTCACATTGTAAAGGGAACTGGCATATGAAAAGAAGATAGCATAGAAGTATAATTAAATAATTATAATCTTGCCATTGATAATTATAATCTTTTCTTGTGAGGTTCAATTTTTCAAAGCCTTCTTTTCTCATAATGTGTCCCAGAAATGTCAACTATCTCTTTCTAAGTATAAGGATATTGTCCCCAAAAATGAAAACAATATCTTTTAGAATTTTTAAATCATTAGAATTGTGTGAAATGACAGTAAGCCTTTTAACCAAAAGTTATATTATTAATGCTACCAAAATTTCTCAGATAATTGTTTTTAAGATTAAAAAAAATAAATTACCTATCAACAATATTTAATTCAGAAAAGACAAAGCACACCTGAATTAATGCTATTTTTTCATTAGATTTATGGTTTAAATGCTTACATGCCTTTACAAAACCTTTTATCAATCTTATATAATAAATGTGAAAATATCTGTGTGTCACACTTTTTCAATTAAAGGGACACAACTCTCAGAAAAATTCTTACATCTGGAGCCATGTTCAAAGACTCAGCCTGAAAACAAACATGAGAGTTAGAATCACAGGTGATCTTGAAGCAGGAAGATTTGCTGCTTTCCTGTTGCAATGGAACCATCAAAATGGACAAAAATGGAGATATTTCAGTCCTAAATGGTTGTGGAGTTTCAGTCTCAAGTATCTAAGACTTGATTAACCATTTTTATCCAAAGATTAAACACCATTTCATGGATTCAAATTGGCTTTGTGAGAGAGCCATATTAGTTCCCAAGAATCAAATTGTGGATAGCATCAACTGGAAACTTCAAGAAATTCCAAAAGAAAGCATGAAATACACTATTTACATTATTTGGACTATTGTACTCATTTTTGTTGCCATATTTATCACAACGTTTTAGCCATTGTATGCTCCAGCCTTCTTCAGGTGGTTGGAATGTCAAACTGAACTCTTCATTTTACTCGCTGGGGTAGACTGTTCTAGTTCCATGTACCATGTCTAATGGATATCAGTTATCTCCTGTTAATTCCCCTCTCCAAATTCTCCACCAGCTATTGAACTCACTCTCTTTGGGTCCTGTCACTGGATCTTAGTAACGCCTTTATCCACTGTGCCATGTGTCCTTGGCACATGGAACTAGAACAGTCTACCCCAGCGAGCAAAATAAAGGGTTCAGTTCAACATTCTGACCACTTGAAGAAGGCCAGAGTGTACAACAGCTGAAACGTTGTGATAAATATGGCAACAAAGATGAGGACAATAGTCTGAATAATGTAAATAGTGTACATAATACCTCATCTTAGAAATATAGACAGATACTAAAGCATGAAGTACATTTCCATTGACACTGTGGTTGAACAAGAGCAGGCAGTGAATTATCCAATAGAGTTCCTGAACTCATTAAATCCTCTTGGAATGCCATCACACAAGCTGGAACTAAAAGAAAATGTGCCAGTTATGCTATTGAGAAATCTGGATCCTCCAAAGCTTTGTAATGGAACAAGGTTAATTGTCAAGAAGATGCTTCCTCATCTCTTGGAAGCAGAGATTCTTACTGGTCCAGGAAAGAAGTAAAGAGTTTTAATTCCAAGAATTCCCTTAATTCCTCCAGATCTTCCTTTTGAGTTCAAAAGACTTCAGTTTTCAGTGAGAGTGGGCTATGCAATGTCAATCAATAAGTCCCAAGTAAATGGATTTCATCTGATGGAACCCTGCTTTTCTCACAGCCAGCTCTATGTTGGTTGTTTAATGTTTGGGAATGAAAACAAGCTATTTTGAATTGAATCCGAATAGGAAAGTAAAAAATGTTGTTTATCATGCAGCTTTGTAATAAGTTCCAAATAGACAAATTATATCATTGTTTTGATGAAAACTGTTGTTTGAAAAATATTGTTCAAGTTATTAAAGTTTTCAATGCATGAAATGTCATTGTTGGGCTGAAAGTCCAATCAAGATCCCTCTGCAGGAGCAAGCTCAAATGCCACCCAATAGGGTGGCTTTTAAGCTAATATATATGTTTATTTTGATACCTATACTTGACTGGAGTAAAAAAAAAAAAAAAAAACCCAGATAGTAAAATTTGCAAATAAAAATATATTTAAACAAACTGATATCTGGGAGAAAAAATTTGTAAAAAAAAGAAAAGGCTAGAAACATCCCCCAAAAATCACCTAATGCCGTAATGCCTAGCCAAAAAAAAAAAAAAAAAACCCCAATTAAGTAAAATAAGAAAAAATGTAAAGTGCTCAATACACTATGTAGAGCAGAGTACAGATCCAGTGCACTCTGAAGATCCATTTACATGAAACCTAGGTAAGTAGTTCTGCTGGCTCACCAGAATTATATATATATATATATATATATATATATATATACACACACACGTTTTTCAAGACACTGAAATGTCAATTTCTAGTGTTTGTGTTATTACTGGCACTTAGTGTTATTTCCAGACAAGCATAGATATACAGTAGCATATAATACAACCTGTTTTGTGATGGACTTTTATTATATTGTGTGCGAGGTGTGGACTAGCTTAGTACTGCAGAGTATCTAATCAAAACGAAAATGGTGGTGCCAATGAAAAATTGCCATCAGTGTCTATTATATCATTTATTTTCAATAAATACCAATTTCCTGTTTTACCCAAATGGGCCTGCACAGCCATGCAACAATGCTATAGTAATGCAGCAGTGAAAGTGTTAAAAGTCATTTACATTTTTCTTAAGATTCACATTGAAGAAATTTGTTTAATATGTAAATCTTAGAGAAAGTATAACTAAAGTCTTGGCTATTCAATGGATTAATTAAAAAAAACTGACACAAACTTGCCTTAGATCTGTTCACAGACTAACTTTGCAAGCATGTATATTCCTAAATAGATTCTCCTCTCTTCTGGACTTGTGCCAAACTTAGCTAATCTAAGAAAAGAGAGTGATACAAGTTCACTAATCTATATATATCAGAAAGTTTGCTGTATAGAAAGAGATAAAAATCTATCAGCAAAATTAGAGAATAGATATACGCACCAGTTTTTTGGTAAAGATTTTCACAGGCTCTTTTTGTCATATCAAAACCAACCTAAACAAGAAGAGAGAAATACATCCTGAGTGGGGTCTAATAAGTAAAAAAAAGTCTTAAAGTATGGATAACGTAAGATTGAAAACTTAATTATATCAAAAGTACAAGCTAAATGTCAGGCAAGAGTTTTTATATCCAATTACAAAATCCACAGATTTGAAAAGTTCATGTTCTTGGAACTGAAGCAGGCTCATCTGAATTTTCGTCAAATGGTCATAGAGACTATATATATTAAGTCTTTCCAGCACTCCTTCTGTAAGCAGAAAAAGTGATTGTTAGGCCAGGATGTTATCAGCCACTGATGATTATATATTTAATGTATATAACATTTTGTCATTGGTGTTTCCTATTTTATTTGATGCGCCCATTTTTCAGTTTTTGATAGAATTCCGATGAGATAAGAATGAAAACCTGCTAAGCTCATCTTTTATTCTTTTTTACCTCATCATTTTTTCTCTTTCTTGATTTACTTCTATCTTTAGCTAGATCCTTTTTGTTACTATTTTGTGCTTTTTTATTATTTAATATGTTTGTTTTTATTGAAATTATAAAATTTTATACCCCTTTTTTATTTTTTTTTTGAGTTTATTAAGATGAGTAAATGAAAGCATATAGAGTCTTAAGAAAAGTGTGCTTTGGAAATAATTGGAGGCAATTTTTTCAAAAAGGAAAAATTTAAGTTGTTGAATTTTTATGAAGATTTAATGTTTACCATTTGTATATATGTATACTGAATACCACTTGGTATCTGGTAATTTGTTCAGGCTTGTATGATGTTTTTTGCATATCATTTAGCATATTCTCTTGTGGATAATACAAGAAATTTTGAACAAAAATTAAGGGCAAAATGGGTGGGGATCATATTATACACAGGTATATGCTTTCAGAATTACACCAATAAACTGACAGTAAATAGTTGATTCAATATTCAATTCACTAACACTGAATGAAAACTAATATTGGATAACCTAAAAAGCTACTTCTGTCTTTGTCATTGGATGATCTCAGGAGCATTTAGTTTTAAATTTATTTAAAAATACTGCTTTATTGTATTGTGACAGTTGTCATATCTTTTATATGTCAGTCTCCTTTCAGACCATTGCTCTCAACCATTTCCTGTACCTTGGAGCTCAAAGCAACGGACTTGTTACCTGGTAAAATGCCCACAAATATATATATATATATATATATATATATATATATATATATATATATATATATATATATATAGTGTGCCAAAAGGACAGTTTTCTAGTGTCACTGCTATTATTGTATCCTCCTCTGTAATTTTTATTGTTTTAAAAAGCTATTTTTAGAATTTTTATAAAACCCAAAAATATGAAACTTGATTTTTACATTCTTTTTTTTCAAGAACTGATAACAAGTATGTAAAATTATCTATTTATTAGATTGTTTATTTACAAGAATAATTTTCTTTGAACTATGAAACAAGAAAATTAAAAGAAAAAACACAAACATGCATAATGATGATTAACTGTAATTATAAATTCTGCAAAAATCCTTTTTTTTTCTCAGATTGCCTTTATCTTGGGTATGACAATAAACTACATCTGGCAGCATGGTTTCTGATTAGGAGATTGGAGGTTTTAAGGCACATGGAACCACCTTTTAATTACTTTTGTTCCCAGGTCCACCATGACTCGGAGTGGTAGCACCTGTTAGGGTCCCAGGGATGGGAAAATAGTGACCCCCCACCACCACCAAAAAAAAAAAAAAAAAAAAAAAAAAAAAAAAAAATACCAGCAATACATTTTGTAAAAATTACCAACAATACATCTTTATAAAAAAAATTACCAACAATAAATTTTTATAGCAAAATGACAATCAACACATTTTAATGGTAAAAATTCAAAACCTGGCATATAATGTCAAAAAAAAAAAAAAAAAAAATTTTTTTAAATTTAAAAATATTTTATTTCTAAATTAAAAAAAGAAACAATTAATCTCATTTGTTGTAGGTAGAAACAAGTTTTCACTCCTTGTTTGATTTTGTAAAATTATTTGGTAAAAAAAAATGCAGCTAAATAATTATAATAATTTATAATTTAATCATGAAATAATGTCATTCTCTTGAAGTAATTATGAAGTTTGAATTTTTATATTTAGATTTTTAACATTAAATATCCCATAGAGGTGTTGATATGTCACTAAACAAAAACAACAAAACCAAACCAATTACATTTTCTTCTCAAACTGAACCAATCAAATTGCCTCTTCAGGGTATAGGTGTTTACAATTTTCCCTGCCTTCCATTTTCTTTATTATTTATGAATTGCTATGATTTGCAAAAGTTAGTGGAATGGTTTCATGTTGCTTCCTCCATGATATTGAATTCAGAGTTATCCTTTTCCTGGATTTACAGCCAAGGCAAGAGAGTCCAGTGTATTTAACCCCTACCTGGGGGTGAGAAGGAGGAATAGATTCAGGCCTTTCCCAAGGGCATTTGTGAAAAAAGGAATAACAACAGACTAGGCAGGAATTTGAACTTGGCTTGCAAATTCCACTTTCCATGCAGATAATAGTTATGCTACCTGCACATCCTGGATTCCTAGCCATGTAGGAATTAAGGGCAATGACAGAGCAGACAAAAGTGGTAAACTACCAAATCCCATATACTGACCTAAAACCATTAATTAAGAAACACATGCAAAGTCAATAGCAAGAACAACAGAGCAGAAAAATGCAAAAAAAACAAAAAAACTGTCATAATGGAAAATATTGAAGGGAATATAACACAACTATGAATAGATTATACTAAAATTATGCATTCATTCTGACTGAAACAAGAAATATCACCATGGTGTCCTACATGCCAAACCCAATATACGGTAAAACATTTTCTAATTGAATGCATTGATTTTGACTTCAAAAGACAATTTCTTCGAGGCAAATCGCCTAAAAGAACTATTTGAAATTATTAAAATAAATAGAATTATAACATTTCTGAAATCAGTTCAATTATATCTGAAGATATAAAGAAAAAACAAAGATTGTCCATTTTCCCTAAATATAAACCAAAATGAATCAGTTTTGCCATAAAATGACTCTAAAGAGTTGATATGCTGTTAAAGATTCACTTAAGGAATGCAACACTGAATTCAAAATGCATGTAGCACTGAAGAAGCACATATAATGCATCTTATGAAAGGCTCGTAGAGTTTACAATGAATACAATCCCGACTGTTTCTTTCTCATTCATCTTTTATTTGCTAATCTCACGTGGATCCCATCTCAGCATGCAATATATGGAAACCTGCAAAAATCATAATAACTGTTTTGTTTATTTAAGATGACAATTTATCCATTGCACCCTGTATCTATGAAGAAAGAAAACAAAAATTGTTCATTTTCCCTGAATATAAACCAAAATAAATCAGTTTTGCCATAAAATGACTCTAAAGAGTTGATATGCTGTTAAAAATCTATTTATACTTACATTTGCACATCCTATGTACATTAATGAATTAGTTAATATAAAAGTCATATTTCATAAAAATAATATTAGACTGCTGATTTTGTTTTTTTGGTGAACAGGCAAAAGTTCTTAAAGCTAGGTTGAAAAGTTTTTACTTATCAGATACTACACTTTTGTATTACCATTTATTCTCATCTTTACAATATTCTGTTAATGGAAGAAACTCTCAGTAAACCCTTGCATCTTAATAGATTTATTGCCTTGCTTGGGGTGAAATGAAAAACAAAAAACCTAAATTTGATTTTATTACAGTTTTTTGTTACTTTATTATAATAGGCAAGTTCCTCATGCTTGAATAGCAATTTGTATTATCTATCTACCCAAGGAAATTTGTATTATCTATCCACCCAAGGAAGCACGGTAATGGATAGCAGCTCAGATTGAGGAATCGGAGAGCTGAGTTTGAATTCCAGTTAAATCTATTACATTCACTTACGTGCTAATACCCTTGGGAAAGGTAAGAATCCTCTTCTTCTCCCCCCAGCTATGGGTAAATAGTAGGACAGACCGGGTTGTATAGCCTTGGATGGCAACTGGTCTACCGCAGAAAGAAATGGCAATCTACTGCGGGAAAAATCTGCCCTATCAGTCATGTCTCAAAAGATACATGATCACCTAAGTGTGTATCACGCATGGCACATAACTGATCTACCCAAGGATAGTATTTCTCTCTGTCATGAAAAGAATGGACTGGTCCCATATAATTGAAATTTATATTAATTAAAAAGGAAAACAAAATTCTTTCAATGCCGTTCAAGTACAAGATATTACATTATAAAGCGCCCTTCTTGATGTAAGGGTTTTAAAGAATTATGGAATGATTATAATTATTCTGGAATGAAGAAGGCTAAACATCTGAAAAAAAAAAATTACCAAAGAAAAATATATGACTTACTGCTTGCTTAAGTGAGCCTGATGCAAAAAAAAAAAAGAAAAATTTGCAAAAAGCACTTAGAATAGTTTTTTGCTTAGAAGGAAAAAAAAACAGAATCAGCTGTTAAATTTTGCATTCTGAGAATACAAAATTTGACAGCTGATTTTGTTTTTATGGTTTATCAGCCCTTTGCAGGTTATTTAAAGTCAGAACATAATAAGTAATAATTTTTTGGAGATAATGATTTTCTAATACACGTCTTACTATTTAACCCATAGCTGGGGAAGAAGAGGTGAATTCATATAACAAACCCAACTGGAATTGGAACTTGGCTCTGATTTTTCATTTCAAGCCATTATCCACTACACCACCCACACATCCAAGCTTACAGCACCTGATTTGGTTTGGTTTGATTTGTTTTATAGCATATCAACCTCAATAGATTATTTAATGCTGACAAGATTTTTATTGCTGGTAATTTATTTTCCAAAAATGTATTGATGGTAATAATTATTTTCTTCAAAAATTCATTGCTAGTAATGGCATTAAAATATATTTTCACACTTTCATAGAGTTTTGACCCCAGTTTGGGGGCTAACTAATTGCCCATAGGTGGGACCCTAACAGGTGCTACCACCCTGGGTCAGGGTGGACCTGAGAACACCAGCAATTAATTGGAGGTACCATGCTCCTCAAAACCTCCTAATCAGAGGCCTTGCTGTTGGATGTAGTTTATTGTCTTACCCAGGATGCTTACAAGCACCTGGTATTTCCAAGAAGTCAGCCATGTAGGTACTGACCAAACTCGACATTGCTTAACTTCAAGGTGTTTCAGTGTGATATGACCATAAACAAAAATCTGCTTGGAAGATGGTATAATATAATGAAAGAAAACTATGCTGTTTAGTAAAGTTAATAACAAAAATAGAAAAAAATAATTGTCTTTTTCTTTCTTTTTTTTACATAATAAACCAAATGAAAATATTGGCCACTCACTACAATGAACAACTCTTCAAACCATCCCAATCAAGTCATTGTTCTGGAAATTCTAGAATAGAATTTCCAGAACAATGACAACAATTCCACAACACTTCAATGAGATTATTCCAGAATTTTGTCAGCAAATATTACTAAATTTCAAATCTTACTCCTAGCTCCCTGAGAAATTGCTAAACATGTGTTAGGAAGAGATCAACAAGAACTATGGAAGATTGGGAAGATTGTCAAAAGATTCTGAATGTAAAACATTTTGAAACTTTTTTAAACTTATCTGAACCTATCAAATATTCAGCTACCAAAGTAAGAACTTACAAGTTTTATGCAGCTGTTGTCTTGAAAAGTTGATGGTAAGTCTGTTGCCATTTCCATTCCAAGAATCTGCACTGCTTGTGACTTTAGATTGTATTTGTTGACAAAATCTTCATTGGCCAATACCACAGCAGCACTTCCATCAGAGGTTGGGCTACAAAAAAAAAAAAAAATCATGATCAAGCCAATAATTTTCCTTATTTCTTGCTCATTTTTTGGATTAAGCATCTCAACAGGTTCAAATCATAAAAAATGTTTGCTTATATTGCCCATACTGATAACCTTATCACTCTGTATATCATTTTATTTGTTGTGCAAAATGTTTATCCTGCAACAGTTTGAATTTGAATATCATAGTTGTGTTATTATATCCTGCTATGGCAACAGAAAACATCTTTCAGTGAAATTAATATAATAAATTACTGTACGACTCATACACATACACTTCCTCCCCCATCAAGCACTTTCCACAAGATATTCAACAAAAATGCAGTAAAAATCAACTACAGTTGAGCCAAGAACACGGCACAAATAATAAAAAGTACAAGATTTATTTCACATTTTATTTTACTTATTTATTTTTTTTTGTATTCATTTTTAATCTTTAAATGATATAGTAAAAATTTATTTTTGTGTCTGCATTTTGAAATAAGTTCTGAATTTAGTAACTGATATTGGTCTTGGAAGGTGATTATAGATATTTTCTTTTCCAGACAGAGTTTATAATTTTGGGATTGATTATTGTAGGCTAATGCTATTTATCTTATTTTACATGATATTTTTGTTGTATTTTAGTTTTTGTTTTTAATTTCCCATATATGTTCAGAAAGGGTTGTGTTGTTGGCATATTTAGAATTGGTAAAGGATGTTTTGTGTGTGTACTTTGAAGTCATAATCAGAATTATTTTCAACTTTTTAAGAAAATTCCATAAATTCTTTCGCATTATATAATATATAAAAAATGACAAAAATACACTTAGGTGCCTAACAGTGGGTGTGTGTGGGGTTGTTTATTTATTTTTTGAGGAAATTTTCTGACTTCCCCTAAACTTACTAAGACCACTCTGTATATTAATTTTGCATTTTTTTTTAACTATTAAATGATTTTCCAACACCTCTTTATGAAGAAAATACCAATCACTTTATTTTATATTGAGAAAAATTTTGCCACTCCCTATTATAAAGCCTCCCCACCACCTCCACCTCTCCATATTAGGCATCTATAAATACTTGTATTTTTACAACTAGTAACTTACCAGCATTGAAGTTTGGTCAGTGGTTCATGGATTGGCTGGGCACTAAGGATTTCATCAAGACTATATTCCTTTTGAAACTGAGCATACCTAAAATTAAAAATACCAGCAGAATTAAATAAGACTTGCTGTACTTATGGAAATTCCATGGTACATAGAACACAAGGTTATTAATATATTTTAACCTTTAACATAGTGGAGGTGATTTTACTTGCAAAGTAAAAATTTTATCCTGTCAAGTGACTCAGATGAATGAATAATAGAGTGTTTGAATTTTGTAGTTGTGTTGTCATATCCTGCTATGGCAACAGAAAATGACAATGATTGAAATAAAATAGTGCAGTAGAGAAGCCTTGAAAAAAAATGCAGTGGAAAGGAAAGTAGTGAATAATGCAGTGTTAAAGGTTAAAAATAAATAAAAAATATTAAGTTTTTATAGGGATTACTTTCATTACTGGGAATTTTTGCTGTTCAGTTGGAGCAGTTTAAGTTTAAAGTCAGCCCACTCAAAAATCAATATTAGTAATAACAATTGGGTGCAACTGAGGCACATCCCCAAATGGGGGGGGGGATAAAAATTTGAATGGGGTTGGCCTTGAAAAAGGTCGTTTTTGCATCCTCAATCTTGCTTCAGCCTTACACGCAGCAGTAGTTGAAGAAGCATTTCTCCTCAGCCACTGAGTCATTTGATCATCATTTTTGAGAATTATAGATATAAAAGATAATATTATTATAATAATTTAAACTATTTTTATTAAAGTTTTTATGAAAGATATATATCCAAGAACAAATAGTAAATAGTAAAATGTTGCTGAGAGTTATAATGGACAGGAAGTAGTGGAGAGCCATTGTTGCCAACAATTTAAACCAGCACTGAAGAATTAGCTATGAAACAAAAAAAATTTCATCAAAATCGGATGAAAACTGTGGAAACGCATAAACAACATCTGATCACACATAGACGCATACATACACATTTTGAGAATTATAGATACATTTGTGATTTTGCAATCTTGATGTAAAGTACACCATTATTCTTAATATTTAAAAAGATGATTTTGCATTTCCCATTTTCCAAGAAAAAAAAATGTTGCTGGTTAAATGCTGGTTGCAGTAAATACATTAAATTCTCGGCCATAAGCCTTATTTATTAGCATTAAATGGCAGTTTTGTATTCCAACAGAATCATTAATAGAAAAGCTAACTAGTAATAGTAGATTCAATATGTTTGGGGAAAATGTAAGAAGTATTATGCACACTATGCTGAAAGGTATGAACTAATGTTCATGTGTATGTTTATTTTTATTAAAAATAATAGACATTTTATGTCATATGAACTTGTTTACAAAAGGATACTTGCATATTACAAAAAAATTCTAATATGAAAATATCCTTTTGCAAATGTCACTGTTGTTTGGACAAAATTTATATGGTGTAGTCCAGGCTTTTTGTTTACATAATTCATCAGATTATTAACTTAAGTATTCTAAAAAATAGGGATACAATCTGCTGCTTAAAATACACTTAATTTTCTTTTCCCACTCCCTCTTCTGATGATAGATATAAAATGTCTATTCTTTTTAATCAGATATGTTTGAAAGAAATATACCAAATATATATAAAATTTGCTTAAATTCATAAAGTCAAAGTACTAACAATATATATATATATATGGCTCAACCACATGTTACATCTGCCTAAAAGTTTGCAAAACACTTGCAGTCATTGGGAAATATGTGTGTCCATAGAAGTTGTGCACCTCTTTATTTTACTAAGCCCTCATTTGTCATCCACGATGAGAGGGTCCACCACACACACTATATATATATATATATATATATATATATATAATAAATTGATTGATTTAAAATATGTTTTTTTTTTTTCTACACAGTTCTAACCATGTTTCAAAATGGAAGCTAAAAGCCCCGAATTTAATTTTGTAATTAAATTAAAGACATTAGTTCCATTTCATCCTCAAGCGAATTTTGGAGTAACTTTTAAAATTACTGGGTTATGATTTTAGCTGTGTCTTTAAAGACACAGCTAAAATCATAATTCATGTTTCCAAGGTTACAGATAAATCGACTTCCACTAGACAAGGGGTGTCTAGCTGTTCATTATGTCTATATTTTAATGTATCAGTTATTAAATATAAAAACAACCTATTAAAACCCTTTTTATTGTTATGTGTTATTTGGCGTTTGTCTCTACTAACCCCTAATCAACATCATAACAATATCTTACTGTTCTTTTTTTTTATATATATATATATATATATATATATATATATATATATATATATATATATATATATATATATATATATATATATTATTACTTCAAACATTATTTTACATTATTTTTATTGGATACCTATATCTGAAATAGATACCTTATTTTTCTTTTAAACAGTATCTATTTCATCTATCAGTCTGCTCTGCATACTCAAGTATAATCTTAATAAAAAAAACAAAAAGTGCTCACTGGCAGGGTGTGAATCTGCATCCCAATTTGCAGGAGACCACCATTTCATCCTACAAAGTGGGATACAGGTTCAAAGTTCAAACCCTGCTGAGAGCATATTTTCTTTTAAAATTCCTCAAGTGCACAGGCCAATAGATGAAATACACATGGCTAAAAATAAAAAAAACAGAGCAGACTGAAAATGTCTGATATATTAGATTAAAAATAAATCCACTAATTTTATATATATATATATATATATATATATATATATATATATATATATAAAAATGTAAATTTGTAAGTAGTCATAATTTCAAAAGTGTATATTTTATATAGTAGAAATTTCTAACCTTGACTAAGAAGATGGAATGCACCTATTTTTTTTTTTTTAAATTGAATTCTTAATTTATCATTCTACAAGAATGTTCCACTTTAATTAATGTTTCTTAAAAAAATACCAGAAATTCTTTAATTCTATGGAGGGAGAAGAAATTCATGCCTTTCCCAAGAGCATTAGTGTAAAAGTCAACACAACAGACTAGCCGAGAATTTGAACTTGGCACGTCAATTCCTTATTCTATGCCAATACCCATTACACTGTTTAATCATTTGTGCAAGTATACATCCAGAATAAAACTCAAACTTACTCCTCACCTACCAGTGTAGGTAGCCAAAAATATCCCTGTCTGTGGTTACACTGGCTTTTAAATTATCTTAATGATAGGATGATGCATTGGCCAAATTAAAAACAGATCACTTCATGCTTTTTACAAAGAAGAGAATAATCACACTGTAGGGATACAGAAGGCGATTATTTCCCTTTGATGGAGATAAGTCACAAGGCTTATGTGATGGCAGCTTAGTGACGTCACATCATACAATGATGAGAGTGGCCAGTCATTCAGTTTGTTTACAGCAGCCAAACCGAGCAGTTGCTTTTTAAGCTTGGGCCAAGTAGCCTGGGCTGAGGCTAAATCTGCCTCCTTCAGCAAATGCTAGAGTTTACTAGTCTATGGTGATGTTTCCCTTTGTGAATAAATCTTTCACAAATATAGAAACTCTGGCTCACAATCCTCAATTTGGGAAAACCTAAGACTCATTGTTCCCCGTTGTGGAATATGTCCTCACTTGGGACATAGTAGATGAATCTGGACTGTTTGAATCGGGAGTCCTAAACATGGCTTCTCCCGACACAGGAGTATCTCCATATTATATGTAAGACCCTTTTTGTTGCTCCTTACACTATGCTTTGTTGTGTAGATATACATTGTTTTCTCTGAATGGAACATGTGTGTATATATATATATATATATATATATATATATATATATATATATATATATACCCAAGTATATGATTGGTGTATATGGAATGAATTCCAATAACCAACAATTTTAAAGATCTGAATAGCTATTACAACATGACTTCATTGTCAAGCTTTTTGAATTTTCCTATACTTGTATTTTGATTGGTCAATCTAGCTTTTGTAACAACATTTTCCCCTTATGTAAGGATTGTTAATTAATTTGAAACTTTTAAAACCATTTATTTTACATTCAACATCATCACTTGATAAGACACCGGGGTGTTGAAACAAAATGGCTATTTTGTAGTGATTTTATAACACATTTATGTTATAATTTTTTTTTTAAATAAATAATTATATATATATATATATATATATATATATATATATATATATATATATAGTTTTGTATATGTCTTAGTGGTATAAAAGTCTCTCTGAGAGCAAGGTATGTTTGTCATTTCTTTTTCCTTTCAGCCATTCCGTTCCATCTGTGAAATATAGTGTTATTATATCAAGGATATAATAATGCCCATAATGGGGGAAATAGAATTGGAGAATAAATCTTTCTTTAGTAGCTCTCTCCCTTTATAAAATTATCCATTAAAATAAAATATATAAATCTTATTGGTATACAAAAGCAAGGGATTGCATTATATGCATATTTGATGAATTTTATGTGCTAGGGCATTTCAGGATGTAGACGATCATGTCCCTCCACTACTTCCTGTCTTTTGTTCACTTAGTAATTTTTTACCTTCTACCATCCCTCTTAGTCCTTCACAAAAACTTGTTAAATAGGTTCCTTAAGCTTAGTTACAGTAATTTCATAAGGAGTCAAAACTATGGAAATCCATTGCCAGATGTTGGATGCAGTATGGAGCATGCACCCTGAATCAACAAGAGATGCATGAGTGGGTAGAATTCTTTAAAGTGGGAAGGAAAAGTGTAACAGATGGAAGCCAATCTGGTTGCCCATCAACATTGCACACGGAAGAACAAATTCAAAGAGTGGATGTCTTGATCAGGGAAATCTGATGAATCATGTTAGTACAAGTGGGGTGGCAATTGTGAACATCAGCCATGGATCTGCACAAGCCATAGTGCATGAGGATTTGGGGTATTAGAAAGTTTGTGCATGCTGGGTGCCCAAATAAGAATGTGGTGCAGATGTGGCCTCATGAGTAACCAAAAAGCTTCTTTCAGAATGGATGAAGAAGCTTGTTGAATGATACCAGAAGTGTATCATTTTGCAGAACAACTATGTTGAAAGGTGATATATGCATTTGTTTGGAAATAAAGGTGTTGTATGTAAATTACCTTTATTGCATTTTATTCACAATTGCTTATCAGAAATTATAAGAAATAGTATGATATTTTTAATAGAGGATATTTTCTATTTACCAATTTTATCTGATTCTTATCAATGCCTCAGTACAAAAGCAAATCAAAGTCACTTCCCATGTTCTACAGCACATATGGCAATGATCTTAGTCTATTTGTGGCGGGTGATCCATAGAGATTGGGCATTTTTATGGGGTCAGAATGATAGCCTGATCAGGCCTATCATCAAACAAGCAGCAAATGACTCTTAATAGATTTAGTATTCTTTACTCTACAATAATTATAATCATTCTATGATTATTTAAAATAATCGCTTCATGAAGAGTGGTTTATAAGCATTCCCCCACTCTGCTCTCATCATGAAAATGATGTAAACTAATGACAATGTATAAATTCTTACTTATTTACTGACTTATTTATTTAAAGGCTCCTCTCTTCACTGAAAACACTCTGGCCCCCACACTCAAGACAGACTGTCTTACAAAGCTAAAGTGGTCCAACTACCCTGCTATTTAACCATAATTAGAGGGAAGAACTGGATTTATACTTTTTCTAAGAGTATTAGAAAAAAAATACTAAATATCATAACCAGAAAATTTAAATTATTTTTATGTGGGTTCAATCTGGTGATCCATGGGAGCCCAGAAAAAAAGAAAAAAAATTATTTCAATTTGTAGCAAGTTGGCTTACAGCCACATCACATTGAAACACTGGTTCCTGTACAATCACCAAAGCTAAACAATGTCGAGCCTGGTCAGTACCTAGATGAATGACCACTTGGAAATACCAGGTGCTTGTTTGCTTAGATGTGCAGGTGGTGTAATGAATAATGGCTCAAAATTGTTAATCAGAGAGATGATTTCCAATTTCCATCAGGCTAGTTATATTCATTTAGGTGCAAACACCCTTGGGAATCTACCTATTCCCCCCAGCTATGGGTTAATTAGTAAGACTTGTATCACTAAACCAGAAAAAATTCTTAAAATCTAAAAATATTTTCTGGCTTTAAATAACCTGCAAAAGGGTTGATAAGTCATAGAAAACAAATCAATTGTAGCAAAAAGTATACAAATTTATTTAATTATCTTAAATCTATGTCCCTGGCTATGAAATAAATTTCAAGATTAAAAAACAAAAGAAAATCTTGAAGTAAAAATTACTACTTACGGATTATTAATGGAATGTTTGTGGTTTTTCCAAGCTATTTTAGCAAAATGTTCTTTCCTTGTTCCTGAAATAAAAAAATAAAAGAAACAAAAATGAATAATATCTATTCAATAGAAACTAGCAAGATCCATGTAAATTACATGGATTTACTAATAACTTTTTTAATACTGCATTCTTCAAACCATGACCATTCCTAGATAGTTATAAAAAAAGTAATATAGTCTTTCTTAAAAATACTGAAATATCCTCAACAGGTCCTTAGGTGATGAAACATTATTTAACCCCCTCACTACAAATAACTGCCTTAACCTAAGATGATCCTCTTCCAACTCCTCTCTGTGTTACACTCTCTTTTTGTTTCTCTAAGTTTCTCTCTCTTTTTCTGTTTTACTCTATATGTACTTCTCTCTTTTTCTTTTCCTCTTCGATGGTCAACCCAGCCTGGGTTTAATAGGATTTTTGATTAGAAGAACATCATCTATTTTTATTATATTACAAAATGATTATAATTATTATAATTATAAGAAAGATTTTAATTTCAAAAGGTCACTTGCAGTTCAGGGGTGAAATTGTCCTCAACAGGATTTCATTAGGTCATGAAACATTAACTCTTCACTACAACTACCTTTATCTAAGATGAGCCCCACCCAATCCCTCTCTGTGCTACACTCTCTTGTCTATGTCCGTCTCTTTCTGTTTTACTCTCCATGTTCTCTTTTTCTGTTTCCCTCTCAGTATCTGTGATACCAAGTGTGACATGCACTATTCATAAGTACAATCATATAAATATATACATTATATACAAAAATTGATTTAGTATTAGAGAATTCAGTTCTGACATGTTATTATAAGTATTATAACATTTTAAGTAAATGAAATATTAGTATCAGTTCTGTATGAAAAAAAAAGAGGCAAAGACTGAATGAAAAGGGAGATGAACAGAAAGACACATTCTTTTTGTCAGGGAGAAAACAGAAAGAATTATCATTTTACAATGCTTCATATTATTTGTCCCACAAACAACATTTTACAGACTTATGTGAGTTTGGGTAAAAAAGGCAAGATATGGAATCTCAAAAAAATAACAATTAATAAATATATTAACAAACATGTTTACAAAAATAAGGAAATAATGTAACTTCATTATTGAAGTTAACAACAGTTCAACACCATCTTCAGTTGATGTATCTGAAGTACTTATATGCTGTGTGTGAAAGAAAAAAAATGTGTTGTCGCTCTGAAGACAATAGAAAAAGAGAGTGAGCCATTCAAAGATTGTAATTCCTGTCATGTTTTGTTATCCAAAAAACGTAATGAACTTTGTCAAATATAAAAACAATGCAGCTAATAGTTTCTCAGTCTTTCTTTAATTTCAATATTAGAAATAAAACAAAATAAACATACATCAACTGAGGTTTTTACTTCAGTGCATTTAATATAAACCAGAGGTGATGGTGGCCTAATAGTTTTAATAGCATATAAAATGAAACTAGCAAACTGAATTCTACAACCACGTGGTTTTTTTGTTGTTTTTAACGCAAATAACTGGTATCTGATATCTATGGCAGGAATAAAAAAAATAATACTTGCAACTAATTGATTGATTTGTTTATTTACAAGAATAATTTTATATTTACAGCATTCTAAAAACTAATACAATTAAAACTAATGCAATGCAATATTTATCATTTACCAATTTAGAAATAAATAAATATGAAAATGTTTTATTCATAAATTTATAAACATTCACTAAATTATTTATATATTTATAAACCAACATTAAGAAAATCATTATTATTTACCATTTTATAAAAGTTAAATCAATTAGCTAATGTTTTGTCAACCATTCCAATAAACAATGTAATAATGTTTATTATTTTTGTTGTCAATTCTCAAGAAAATGTATAAATTCACTTTCATATGTTTAGGTTATATAACAATTATAATCATTGCTTTTTAAAACAATGAACATTGCCGAGGAGTGAAGGTCGTTAAAATAATAATAGTATCAATGGAAAAAAACGTCCTTTTGGCACTTTTTTTTCTTTTTTTGCAGACATGAAAGTCCAAGTTTGCCAAATTTTTCTTCTTTTATAATTATATATTTCCAGTCATTTCTTTCTTACTCTTTTAATCATTTTTCTTTCTCTTTCAGTCATTTGTCTTTCCTTTTCAATCATTTAATTTTCCTTAAGATACTTTAAGCAGAAATTACTTTATCTTGGATTCTGTGTTATCTGAATAAATTTTGTAAAAATTTCCCCCCAAAATATCATAAAAATATCGATCTGTTATCTTGAAAATTGCCAAAGATTTGAAGGAATTAAATTATTTGCTACAAAATATTTTCAGATAAAACAGACATTTACATTGATAAAATCACCATCCAATTGGACAGAATTAAACTTAAACTTTGGAGCTTAATATCCTTTTGAGTGGTGACACTATGACTATTTTTCTCAGTCCTTAAGTTTAGCCTTAAGTGCATCCTTACCATATTTTTTCATATGTTCCTTTCCAGCATTACCAAACATTTGAGCTGTGATGGGGGATGGCTCCAATTCATAGAGGTTCAACATAGTGGCAACATGTTTGTCCAGTGGGTTGGTCCGATCATGAAACTAGACAGACAGTGAAACAAAAGAAACAAAGAGTGAAAAAGTAAATTTTCAAAAACCAAGTTAAATAAATTGATAAAAATTACCTTTTTAACAGAATTAAACCTACTCTGCTTGAGCACTTTTAATTAAACTTAATTACAATTAAACTTTCTATAAAAAAAAAAAAAAAATTTGTAGAGAAGACATCTATTCGGCTTTAAAAGCAGACATCTTAAAAACTATAAATTAACACATGATATATACAAATACGGGGGGTGCAGAAGTAAGTATACAGTATATTTTATACCTGTATTATAATAATGTCCGATTGGAGTAGATAAATTCACCTATCATTCAGTTCACACTACTCCATGGTCTTTTGAACAGGAGTAGAGGTTTATCACTTGTTTCCTGATCAGGATTGGGTTTTTGGTTCCTTCTAACTAAAGTCTACTTCAGCTCTATACTCCTAGTGCTTGTCCTTTCCTACACTAATATAACTCAACATAGTAACCCTCTATCTTGAGTGGCCCTTGGGCCCTGTATTGGATGAACATTAGCAAAAAAATAAAGAAGTAGTTCTAGGATTCATTTAATACTAGTGTAATGACAAAAGTAGCAGGTGTAGACTTTAAGAAAGCTTTATTCAACTAAGAATACAAGGTTTGCATATAGTGTCCTTTTATAGTCCCAGAAAACAGAAATAGCTCTCTCAAAGAGGAGAGTAATAAAACAAGGGGAGACTACTCTAGATTATTTATAACAACTAATATTCATTTAATTCATTGAAATCATTTTCAATATTTGTATTTTTATAATTTTTTTATAATACATTTATTAAAATTTTTACTTTTTAATAAATAAAAATAAATTTTTAATGGATAAAGAGGATTATGTGAATAATGAGGGGAAAACAGTTTGAACATTTGAGGGATTGATATGTTTATTATTGATATGTTTGTATAATCAATACAATACATTTTGTGCACACATTTTGTTTTTCATTACTGTATATCTACTTTTGCATCCCCCTGTATACTAAAACAAGGGAAAGAAAAGCAAGAAAAAAATACTTATTGTAAGGTGTTAAAACCAGGATGATAACAGAAGCAAATTTTCACTCTTTCAGCAAATGAAGCTGTTTTGGGACTTTAAGATGATCTTCAAATGCAAGTTTAAAAGATTTATATAACAGCTATTAGCTGAGGAACTTTTTGTGCTATAACCAAGTGCTATCAATTGACATCCAAAAGTTTTGAGTGATCATCCTTATCACATGTTAGTCTGTTAAGAAAAGGTACACAGAAATTCAGGAAATTTGAACTGTGTGTGGAAACAGAATGTAAATGACTACTTTGAAGGAGACAGCAGAATTTTTTTTTTCATGGTTAAATTCTTCAAACTCTACCCTGCCATTTAATCTATAACTGAAAGTAGAATAGATTTGTGTCTTTTGCAAGGGTATAAGTGTGAAGGGAACATAACAAACATAGCCAGAACTCTGATTGCTGATTCCACTTGCCAAGCTGATAACCAAGACCATGCTTATCTCTACAAAATACAAGATTTGTAGAGTTCAACTTAGAATCAGTGAACTGAACTGGCTTATGACTAAGTTGGTCCATTACAAGTTATTCCATAAAGAGCAAGTACGTACAGTCTCACAACATATTTAAGGAGAAACTGAGTCTATTAAACAAACAAAAAGATGGACAGGCAGATTCACTACCATCTCCTCTGCTGACTGTAGACAAAAACCAGATGAACACCAAAAAAAAACTTGACTAGAATGTACCTGGTGTAGGTAAGAGTTTTGTACTGAAGAATTTGCTGTTTGAAGGTGAGTCTCTAAACATAGATAACATCATTACTAAATTTGCATCAAGATTGTGCTAATTTGCATACAAATGTAATGCTTGGTAATCAACGAATCATCTGTGATTGATGGGTTTGTTTGTTATGGCTTATCAACCCTTTGCGGGTTATTTAAAGCCAGAAAATATTTTTAGATTGTAAGAATGTTTTTTTGGAAATAATGATTTTACAGATACAAATCCTTCTAATTAACCCATTGCTAGGGAGAATAGGTGGATTAATCCTTTTCTAAGGGTATTTGCATGTAAATAAATTTAACCAATCTGACTGGAATTTGAACAGGACTCCCCGATTTCCAATTCTGAGCTGTTATCCCTTACATCACTCACACATTCAAGCTCTTATAGCACCGGGTATTCCAAAGTAGTCACCCATATAGCTACTGACCAGGCTTGATGTTGCTTAACTATGGTGATTGTAGGTGAATCTGATACTTTTCAGTGTTGGGAGAGCACTACTTGCATTTGTGTCAGTTGGGTTGTTAGTAAGAGTTTTATATAATAACAACTTTAGTTATCAGGGGAGATTGTAATGAACATTTCCTATCTCTCTTTTTGCTTGCATAACAGACTCAAATATGTTGTACTATCATATGTACTTGCACTATGTGCTGACCTGGCATCTCAGCTTTAATTACTTTCCCAGCGCCATAATATAGCTTCCCTGTGCCTTTTTTTATAAATAGTTTCATGGTAATTGTTCTGATGAATTTTCCTCTATGGTACCTAAACTTTATGAATTTAAACACAGTACTAATATGCTAACAGTGTTTTTCTCTTCTGGCTTCTTGCTTCAGTCAACTTTGATCTTCAAAAATTTAAATGCAATGGCAATTGTCATCTTTTGTAACCTTAATTTTTGTTCTTTCAATTTAAATGCAATATCAATTGTTATCTTCTGTCTTCTTAATTCCTGTTTTTATTTTTCTCTCTCCTTAATAATGCTTTTTCTTTTGCTTATACTCTCACACTCAGTAACCTCTTGCATCTTAGTGGCTTTATTGCTTTGCTAAATTTGGTTTTATTATAGTTTTTTGTTACTTTATCATAATAGGCAATTTCCTCATGCTTGAATGGCATTTTATATTATCTATCTACCCAAGGATAGTATTTCTCTCTATCATGAAGAAAATGGACTGGTCCTTCATAATTGAAATTCATATTGATTAAAAAGGAAAACAAAATTCTTTCAATGCTGTTCAAGTACAAGATATTACATTATAAAGTGCCCTTCTTGATGTAAGGGTTTTAAAGAATTATGGAATGATTATAATTATTCTGGAGGGAATAATGCTAAAGATCCGAAAAAAAAAAATTACCTAAGAAAAATATATGACTTACTGCTTGCTTAAGTGAGCCTGATGCCATTTTTTCAAACCCAAGTGCAAGAACACACTCAGCAAGGCCTAAAAAAAAAAAAAAAAAAAAAAAAAAAAAAAATCATAGCATTCTGTTACCAATTACAAATGTATCATGGCTTTGACATCAAATATGTGAAAGGAAACACTATTCCGCCTGTAGATGCTTTGTCATTAAATGAGCCATTAAAAAGATCAGATAATTCAGAAGATAAAATATTGCACTGGATTGAAACAGATAATCTTGCATTTAAAACCTTACAGGATCCAGTATTAAGCAAGATTACATGTACAATAAAAAATTGTTCTAGGGCAGAGAGACCTCCATAAAGGTTAACTATAGAGAAGGGTTTTATATGCAATAGAGATGTTTTAATACCACTAGAGAGATTAAGAAAAGACATAATAAAAAGTGTATAGAATGATGTTCAATGTGGAATAACAGCAATACAGAAATGATTAAAATTGGAAGTGTGGTGGCTTGTGTGATGTAGAAATATATGTCCAAAATGTAGGGAAATAAATAAAAAAAAAAAACTATCGCCAAACCAAGATATATTCATGGCCTAAAGATAAAGAGCCATGAGCCCATGTTCATATGGATTATGTGCATGTTAAAGGCATAAGACTATTTTTAATTTTGGTCAACTCATTCTCAGGATGACCTGAAGTGGTTAGAATTCAGGATAGGAAGGTAGCCATGGTAAAGCAAATATTATTATAAATATTTTTCAGAAATGGGGTGCCAAATAATGTTAGTCTCTGACAATACACCAACATTTTCTGATGAAACTGTGTTTGTGGTTAAAACAAATTGGATGACTCCCTTATAAAACACCACCATACCACCCGCAATCAAATGGAATTGCATAAAGAATGGCGCAGACTGTGCAAATGGGGTTGAAGTTATCTTCCTCATCCACAGACACCATAGACAGTTACTCACCAAGACTGAGTTATAGAGCTATTCCTCATGCTGGTAGAATGCATAGTCTCTCTGCATTGATGAGTATAAAAGTTAGATTGCCTATAACAATATCCTTTTCAATAAATGAGAAAATGGGGTACAAAATAGACAGAGAATCAAGTATTGAAAAAAAAAACAACTTTATTGCACAAAAGGGACATAGCCATAATAGCAACAATTGGACAGAATTTATTGGTTAATTCTGATCCAATAAGATATAGAATTAATGACAAAGAAGCCGAGGAGGTAGTTGAAAGGGAGGAAAGTATGAGTGCTTCTGATGGAGAAAGCAAACTATGGAGGATAGTTTACACAAATTCAACACAAAATTGGAAGATCAGAATGAAGATATGAGAGAAAGAGAGAGAGAAAAAAAATCTTGTCCTATTGTTTGGAGAAGTTACAGATCAATGAAGGGCATAAAACATCTTTGTATCTGGGAGGTGTAGTGACATAAGCAAAGTAGACTTGCCCTATTTTGCATAGAGTCAAGTGACTACTAATAAGTAAGTCGTCACTCAGTATGGCGGTAGAACTTCTATGTCATAGATGAGAAGACAACAGCCATATTTTTATCTTTCTTGATTTTTAGTTGGATTGCTTTTTATTAGCTTATGTTGTACAGATAAATTTCAAATGTTTTTTTTTTAATTTAATTTTTATTTTTTAGACTTAAGAGAGAGAAAAAAATACATTTCAGACTGAGCTTTTCCAAGGTTGCCAGACACAGAATCTGTTAGCTAGCCTTACATGCACCATTGATGGTGAATTTCATTTTTTATTGGATATTCTACCATTGTGAGTGAAGAGATTCATTTACACAGGAAGTCACAAAGACTATAAATAGGTAAGGCTATTTATTACTCATGAGGCAGTTGAGTGCATACTACATCTCATGAGTCAATAACATTACAATGGTATCACTGATATTTAATGAACCGAATGAACAATTATCACTTGATAATTATGAATACACACAAGCATGGCTTAGAATACTAGCAACTAAAGCTAGAACAAAAAAACTAAAGGTTTAAAATCATTGGAGGGACATTCCTATGAAAGAAGAAAAAGGTCACAATCTCCCATATCTAGACAATCTCTTAGGGTGAGGGAAGAAGATATTGAGGAGACAAAAGCTCCCAGAAGAAGTACCAGGGAAAATATGGGGATAAAACCTCTTCAGTACAGGGAGATGAGGTGACTCATTTACACAGGAAGTCACAAAACTATAAATAGCTACAGCTATTACCCGCGAGACAGTTGAGTGCATACTACTTCTCGTTAGTAACACTAGAATGACCTTATACAAAAATAAGCTAAGCTCACTTAAAAACTATATTATTTCCTTCTTGTTAAAATAGTGATGAATATTTTTTTATTTTTTCAAGAGTAAAACTATTTCCTTTTGTATTTGATTCAGCACTGCATACCTAGTGTATTAATCAAAGTTTGAATGTATCATAACACTCACCTCCTGCGATAATTTGCTCTGCCATCATCAGAGCTGTGGAGCCTGTGGAGCAGTTGTTATTTACCTAAAATAAAATGTTTAAAAAAAGAAAAAAATCATTAAATCTAAGTAAATCTCTGATACCCTCATGTCATGAGTCCCATAACCCATTATATTCATAGGGTTACATGTACTGCAGTCATAGCGAAAGTGGTGTGTCTGTGGCAAGATAATCTGATTGAGCCCACCTTCAGGCTGATTTGCAATTCAGAATTTTCATTCTAGTAGACAGTTGCGACCTCAAGGCAAGAGAGCCTAGTTAATCCTGTGATTTGTGTGAAAATGAACCAAACAAACAGAACCAGGATTTGAACTCTAGTTCACTGATTTGACTTTCTGACTCCCTAACCATGGCATAAACCACACATCCTCTGACATAAGTTATATATATGGGTAAATCAGAACGTAAGGGTAATTTTGAATGTATGCAGTAAAAACAACAGAGAAATGCTGTCACATGACACTATGATTGTACATGGGATGTGCAAAGAATTCCATTCTTTAGTCAAGTGGCAGGGAATAATGAGGTGGAACATATGAAGACTCCACTCAGTGATTGCACTATTGAGGAACAACACAGTAGCACACTTTCTGTGGGCATAAGGAGTCAAAAGTGTGGAAATCCATTGCCAGATGTTGGATGCAGTATGGAGCATGCACCCTGAATCAACAAGAGATGCATGAGTGGGTAGAATTCTTTAAAGTGGGAAGAAAAAGTGTAACAGATGGAAGCCAATCTGGTTGCCCATCAACATTGCACACGGAAGAACAAATTCAAAGAGTGGATGTCTTGATCAGGGAAATCTGATGAATCATATTAGTACAAGTGGGGTAGCAATTGTGAACATCAGCCATGGATCTGCACAAGCCATAGTGCATGAGGATTTGGGGTATTAGAAAGTTTGTGCATGCTGGGTGCCCAAATAAGAATGTGGTGCAGATGTGGCCTCATGAGTAACCAAAAAGCTTCTTTCAGAATGGATGAAGAAGCTTGTTGAATGATACCAGAAGTGTATCATTTTGCAGAACAACTATGTTGAAAGGTGATATATGCATTTGTTTGGAAATAAAGGTGTTGTATGTAAATTACCTTTATTGCATTTTATTCACAATTGCTTATCAGAAATTATAAGAAATAGTATGACATTTTTAATAGAGGATATTTTCTATTTACCAATTTTATCTGATTCTTATCAATGCCTCAGTACAAAAGCAAATCAAAGTCACTTCCCATGTTCTACAGCACATATGGCAATGATCTTAGTCTATTTGTGGCAGATGATCCATAGAGATTGGGCATTTTTATGGGGTCAGAATGATAGCCTGATCAGGCCTATCATCAAACAAGCAGCAAATGACTCTTAATAGATTTAGTATTCTTTACTCTACAATAATTATAATCATTCTATGATTATTTAAAATAACCGCTTCATGAAGAGTGGTTTATAAGCACTCCCCCACTCTGCTCTCATCATGAAAATGATGTAAACTAATGACAATGTATAAATTCTTACTTATTTACTGACATTTATTTATTTAAAGACTCCTCTCTTCACTGAAAACACTCTGGCCCCCACATCCAAGACAGACTGTCTTACAAAGCTAAAGTGGTCCAACTACCCTGCTATTTAACCATAATTAGAGGGAAGAACTGGATTTATACTTTTTCTAAGAGTATTAGAAAAAAAATACTAAATATCATAACCAGAAAATGTTAAGTAAAATTGTACATGTTTTTAATTGTTTAGTTAACTCTAAGCTCATCTTTACTTGTGTTAATGTATGTATATATATATATATATATATATATTATATATATAAATATAATTCATACAAATCTGTAAGATTAATGAATCCATTCTAATAATTTCTCTTTGTTTACATTTGGATACAGAACTGCATACCAATATGAAAAACTCTGAGAGTTTATTGACAAGAAAAATTTGGATTGAAAGCATCAAATTTGACTTTGCTTGATCATCTGTCTGTTCTGTACAGACGCCCCAGTCTACACGGTGGCTCTCTCTACCCTGAGAGATGCAGCTTCAATTCCTGCCAAAGAGTGTAAATTTTTCTTTAATGATATTTCTCAAAATTTCAGGCTGGTAAGTGAATATGAATAAATATGCTACTTAATATATAAATGGTGTGCCTACTCAAATACGAGTATCTACTACTAATAATGTTTAAAAATTGCCAGAAAATAATTCCCAAATTATAATATTTGGAAAATAAACAATCTGCCTATATTAAAATGTTTACTTTGCACTTTGTAATAATGAATTCTAGATACTTACATTATAAACTGGAATTCCTGTTAAGCCTAATTCATAGACTGCTCTCTGTCCACAAGTTGAATCACCTTACAAAGAAAAAAATGCAAACATATTAAAAGTAGAGATAAATTAAGAAATAAATTTATAAATGCTATTAACCTATTTTTAAACTTTTGGCACAATTAAAGTTTTAAAAGTGAAAGTAAGTAAATAATAAAAAAAAACCTTATCAGCGACACCATGTCAAATCATAGTAGAGTGACACATTAATAGTGATTTTTGAGTAAAATAAAAATTATATTCCTTTCTACCAATGACTATTCATCTCCACAGATATTTAGGTCTGATTTATCTTTATAAATGCATTAACAAATACAGGGTCAGATTAAACTAGTTTGGGGCCTGTAGACTATTTTATAAAAGGATCCTAAAATAAAAGATATACATAAATATTCATAGTGATAGAGATTTTTTTAATCATTTCACTTCAAGCAAGATGATAATGCCACTAAGATGCAAGTAGTTACTGGGGGAGGGGTGAAGAAAAATGAGAATCTTTTAAGAGAAGGAACTGGAAACCCAATCCTAAACAGAAAACAAGGAATAGAACTTTAAGATGGGAAAGGAGTGGGAAATCAGTGAGAGGTAATCCTATCTATTCCTATTTTAAAGAACAGGTTAATATAACCTCATAATAAACTAACCTAGAAAAATATGGTTATTTTCTGAGTAGCTTAGATGTGGCACAAGGCCAAAAGTATGTAGTATACAGTGAGGATAAAAGTCACAATTTAGTTGTAACTGATCTAGCAAGACAAGCTTGATAACCATTACACCATGTCAAAGTGTCCAACCCAGAAAAATATGAGGCGAATGATTTCTAATGAGATATTTGAGTAGATTTAACAGCCTAGATATAATGTTACTTGAAATGATGAATACTCACCCGACAGGTAAACATTAACACTGTCAGATTGTTAGATGACAATTACATTATAGAACTTCAAAGTATTTAATGCAGGGTTCGTAGCATTTGCTGTTTTTGGAACTAGGTTAATCTGGCACTGCTATGCACAAATATCTAAATTTATTCCACCAAATCAAAGTATAACTGTTTCAAGAAATATTTGTAGGAAATGGTATTAAGATTGATAAACAATCAAATCTAGCAATTTTTTAAAATTTTTTTTTTATTTATTAGTCTTGTTTGGTATGAACACCACTGCCTCTACTTACACACTGTATAATAAAAAATTCTTTTGGTTTGCTCCAATAGTTAAACTGGTATAGTGGCCTGGAAATTTAAGGTATCATTCTTATTTTTATTATTAATATCTCTATCTATAAACATTGGGGTGACTGGTTGATTATCCATAAACATTTGGAATATTTTGAAGAAACACTGGAGTTGTTTCATTATCAATCTATCTAATACTTGTAAAATCAGTTTTTTTTTTTTTTAACTCTCTGCACCAGGTCTGGATTAAGCTAATGCAGGTCTTGTAGCATATATTATAAAGGGGACCTAAATTAAAAGATATACATAAATATTAAATCATAAATAATTTACTAGCATAGTGACAAAGCTTAAAGAGCAGACAAGCATTTAATTTCTATCAGCATGAATAAACAAACCCAGAAAAACATGAGGTAAATGATTCTAACGAGATATTTGAATAGATTTAACAGCCTCAATATAATGTTATCTGAAATCATGCATAATTAAAGCTGCAGCTCCACTGACAAGTAAACATTAACATTGTCAGATTGTAAGATGGTGATTTCAATATAGAGCTTGAGAGGGTTTAATGTGGGGCCCATTTGCTATTTCTGTTACTAGGGGTAATCAGGCATGGAACAAATAAATATGAAGAACTCAAGTTGTAATTACAAAGAATAAAAAAATGGAAAAAAGAATAAGCTATGTGCAATACGAAGAGTATCAGGGCAATGTTTAACTTTTGTGTCCACCAAAAAAAGGGTGTGTCAAATGGACAGTTATTCCCTTGACACTGCTATTACTATGTACACTTTTGATCCCACAGCAATATTTATTTATAAAATTATAAAAATATGTGAACCAAGTACAATGCTATATTTATTATTTACCTTTTATAAAGATTTATTATTTACAATCTTATAAAAAAAATAAATTTAAAAAGAAATCTTTTTATTTAAAAATTTATAAAAATTACAAAAGTATCAAAATATATAAACTAATTATAATGCAATATTTATTTACAATCTTACAAGTAACTATGAAAACAAGTTTTTTATTCAATCTAATGAATAAATAGTGTTTAATGTCTTTGTTGCCAATTCTCAAGAATAAAGAAAATGTATAAATTCCCTGTTAAATGTTTATGCTTTATTAAAAGTCTAATCATCGCTTTTTAAAGCAATAAACATTGTTGTGGGAGTTAAAAGTGTATATCGTAATAGTGGTGTTAAGAGATTAACTGTCCTTTTGATACACTTTTTTGTGAGCACAAAAGTTAAACATTGCCAAGATCAAGATATTGTAATGTATTATTTTTTTTTACAGAGGAATAATAGACAAATTAGTTATGTCATACTCTGTCGCAAATAGATCTCATTCTGATTCATTCTGCACGCTGGCCAGATGTGAATGCTACGAAGGCAGAAAACAAAATAACAAAAGTTGTATTATGTGCATTAGGCTCCATGCATCACATCCAGTATACAGGGTGAGACCTGGTGGTGGCCATTTGAAAACATTTCCACCAGTAAAAGAGATGCCACTTAAAAGCAGGCTCTGAGAATAACCAGGACACAGTTGCAGCCCAAGGCAGTTGCCAGCCGTCATGCAGGGCACTGCTGCTGCTACTGCCGCCTTGACCTCATCACCGTGACAACAGAGTTGCGACCCAGTCATAATGCAGGGTGCTGCTGCTGTCACTGTTGTCGCCTTCATTACCACCACTCAACATGACCGCACTTCTCAACAACCATTACCACTTCCTGGCTTGACCAACCACTTCGGGTATCCAGTTTTAACTTGAAACATCTCAACCTCGATTCCTCTCAGCTACAAGCCTTCATCGATAACAACACCCACTGTCACCTAGGTTTACCTCAACTCACTTACAAGGCATTCCCTTTGCAGTTGACACAGTAAACTCCATTCCACAGAACAGGCCAACCAACCCCCGCCATAAATTTGGCCTACCTCAGCTGGTTTGCAAGGCGTTCTCTTCAGTCAACCCCAATGACCTCTGTTCCACAGAACACAGCATACCAAAACCACACCAATTCAATGTCACCCTGGTTCAACATAACAGGTCTACCAACCAACAAAACAACTTACCATGGTGACCTTGACCAACCAAACATGCACCGACTATATCCTGTGACCTCGGCCAGACTGGTATAGAACTTCCAGCACTATGCTTACACCAGATCGTTATCCTGATAATCACCTACTGAAACTAACATTTCACCTATCTTCGACATAACTGTACAATATACTACCCTTCACTGACCTTACACCAAACCTACATGAGAATTAGGTCAGCACTATCCTCACACCCGACTGCTAACTGAAACTGACATTCCATTTATCCTTCAACATCTGTACTCTCTACCAACAATAATCTAATCCTCATCATTCCTTTCTCTCACTACCAAATGTCTAATATAACAGTTACAAACCCAGCAGCAATTCAATAAATTGAAAAAGGAATCAGTTTATAAAAACCTTTTAAAAAGGGACTTCCTTAATACTGCAAACCATTATTACAGTCGAAAGATCAGCTCTTATTGGGTGTCTCATAGTTGTAGCCTTGTGTCAGACTACTTAAGAAATACATAAAACAGATATAAAAAAATTAAGTAACATAGTTTGCCCTTCTGTATTTTTATTAGTTACAATTATAAAATTATGGTGAATATATACTGAATCTGGTTAACGAAGGGAGGTAACTTGCATAACATTATAGATTGAAAGCAGGCTGGAAGATATTTTTTTATACATTTTTATTTTAATAATCAATACACTCCAAGCAAGGCGATAACGCAAATGACTACTGGAAATGAAAGAGAGGAAAAAGACTTTACAAAGAACCGGAAATGCAAAAGTTTAAATTTCAGAGTTCAGGCAGGGATGTTAGAAGTATAGACTTGAAGTAGAAACCGAATCCTAAACAGGAAACAAAGGATAAATCTCTACTCTTGTTCAAAAGCCAGGAGAGGAGTGTGAATCTATCTACTCCTATTAAATACCAAACGAGCATTCAATTTGATTATTTTATTGATAATATACATAGAAAAAATAAAATACAATATGTATATTATCGATAAAATAATAAAAATTAATGTTCAACTGGTATTAAAAAAAACGTTTTAAAATCTGTTCCACTAGTGGAATAATGGACACTAAAATGTTGATTGATACTAACAATAACAGTGAAAATTTCAGTTTTCCTATCTGAATCTTCTGATGAATCATATTTCTTAATGTACTGATTGAATAAGCTCATGGTGAGTTTGAGAGCTATAAAATACTCATAGAAATTACCTTTAACAAAATATAGGGATAACAATTGTCATATAATAATTGTGCTTGTTCCTCACTTCCTTAGCATGTATGTTACACCCTGCCATTACCTCAGATAAACAAGGGACCATTCCTGTTTGATTGCAAGGATAGACGGAAGAAAAGATTATCAAAAGCAGAGTCTGGTTTTAGGGAAAGGAAGGGAAAAAGAACAAAAAGGGAAAGGAGATGAGAACACTCAGGTGTTTAACGTCCACATCAGTGAAATGGAAAATCTTATCAATTTTCAATTCTTTTCATTTGTACCCTCTTACTTCTTTAAATAATGACCTGCAATCATATTTATGATTGTTATTAGAATATTTTTGTTAAAGTTGTGAAGTTCAAATATTTAATGAGGCTATAATATGTTTGTTCAATCATTAACTTAAGAATTAAGATTAATCAGAAAATTTTCACAGGTAATTCTAATATATATGAACACAGGTGATTATTTAAAGAAATAAGAGGGTGCAAATTAAATGGTTAAAAATTTATAATGTTTTCCATTTTCCATATCACATTGAAACATTGGTTCTCGTATGATCACCAAGGTTAAGCAACATCGAACCTGGTCAGTACCTAGATGGGTGACCACTTGGAAATACCAGGTGTTGTAAGCTTGGATGTGCAGATAGTGTAATGAGTAATGGCTCGGAATTGGAAATCGAAAAGCCGAGTTCCAATTCCAGTCTGGTTTGTTATATTCACTTATGTGCAAATACCATCTCTTCTCCCCCAGCTATGGGTTAATAAGTAGGACATGTATCAGTAAATCATTGTTATCTCCAAAACATTCTTAAATTCTCAAAAAATATTCTCTGGCTTTAAATAACCTGGAAAGGGTTGGTAAGCTATATAAAAAAAAAACAAATAAAAAACATTTCACTGAAGCAGACATTAAATGCATGAGTGTTACTGTTCTTTTTTTCTTTCTTTTTCTTCCATCATTCCTTACATTCAAAATGAAATGGTCCATTAGTTATCCAAGGCAATGGCAGGACATAATGCATGCACTAACTTAGTAACTTACAGAGGAACAAGCAGTTTTACATGATTTTTACTGATTAGTCATTGAATAATGATTTATGGTTATCCATTTTTTTTTACTTTAGAGATTGGCAATTACAAAATATTCCTTATAAAATTAATTAAAATTACATTAAATTACGTTAAATTTAATGCAAAAAAGCAAGTATAATATGACTGAAGAAAAAAAAGAAGTAATCCTTGTATCCCATTTTGTATGAAATAGAGTGAATGAATCTAAAATAAAAAAAATAAGCTTACCATAAACATATCCAACAACTGCTTGCTGCACTTCTGAATATGGAATGCCAGCATCTTGCAAAGCTTTGGTCCCTTGAAGTCAAAGGAAAAAATATTTCTATTAATTTTCAACAATCTCTCTAAATTATACAGAAACATCGAGTATCCAAGAAAGATCACATTTTTGATATGCTGATGTGAATAAAGAATAAAAATGGTCAGGATTAGTCAGAGAAAAAAAAAAAAGAAACCAGAAACAAAAAAACTAAAAATACAAACAACATTTTGACCAACAGGTTTTTAATAATATTTAGACTGAGTAAAAAACTTCTGGACAAAAATACTAAGGTTTCTTATTTTCCCTCTCTGCAAACAGGGTCGCCTTCTTGGGATCATGTTTTCCACTGACATGAAGTGGAGTGATTATACTGAATCAATTGCTAGGTCTACTGCTAGGAATCTTGCTTCACTGTGTTGTGCCAGACAAATTTCTTGTCAGAATCCATCTTGTACATTTATAAATCTACTATTCATCCATGTATTGAATACTGCTGCCATATCTAGTCTGATGCTCCTCATATATATCTTGAAATTCATGACAAAATTCAAAAACGTAATGTAATCGATCCTGAACTGGCATCTTGAGTTCAGTCACTTTTTCAAAGTGACGTAGCTTCCTTCTGTCTTTTTGTTATATAGGAATAAAATGTTGCTGCCGACACTTGAGTTTGAACATAGATCACCAGTGAGCAAACACAGGTGATCCCATTATTGAATTAAGTAGACCACGTAACCATAGAGGAAACGCATATATGTAGGAAGTAGCTGATGACTAATAATAGTCATTTCTACTTTATCTTCTATTACTATACAGACCGCTATTCTGTACTCTATTCACTATGCTATTTCTTTATATGAATTACTATTTGGTGGTTACTTGTCGAGCAAGTATTATTGGGCAAGTACTATTAGTGCGAGTGATATTTGATGGCGTCTGACACCAGTATTGTTCAACAGTGTACTACAGTTGTATCTGTGATTACAAAGTCACTACTACAACGAGAATTTACTAACGTGACAGCGAGTATTCATTGGCATCACAAAAGTGGCAATGACTGTTTGTTGACATCACAAAACTTTTCTACAAATATTTTCATGGCAATTGTTCTGATGAGGTTTCCTCCTTGGTGGCTTGACTGCATGAATTTAAACATTCTACTAGATTGGCAATTAGGTCTCACAGTTTTACTGTTGAATTAGCTAGATGCAACCATATGTTCTTCCAATTTTTAGCTTCCCTGCCACATTCAATCTTCAAAAATTTAAATGCAACATCAATAATTGCCATATTCTGTCTTCTTGAATCCTGTTCTTTTATTATCCTTTCTCCTCATTAAAGTCTTCTCATTCTCTTTCACTCCCAATAAACCCTTGCATCCTAGTGGCATTATCACCTTGCTTGGGGTGAAATGATTTTAAAAAAAATATGATATACAATATATTAATAAAATTATTATTGTCAAAGATCAATAAATTATTTCTTTTTTTTTTGTTTCACAAAAAACAAGGTGATAATTCCACTAAAACACAGCCACTTACATGGAGTGAAAGTGAATGAGAAGACTGAGAATGGGTAGGATTGAGGAAAGGACAAAAATGGAACAGGGTTCAAGAAGATGAAAGATGGCAATTGACATTACATTTAAATTTTTGAAGATTATAGTTATCAGGAAAGCAAGAAATTGTGAGGGAGTTCCACAGGGGGGGAAGTGTAAGAAAAGAAACTGTTAGAGTAGAAGTGACAGTTGCATCAAGTTAGTTCAACAGTAAAACAGTGAGACCTAGCTGCCAATCTAGTAGTACACTTAAATTCATGTAGTTAGAGAACTAAGGAAAAAGGCTCATCATAGCAGTTGCCATGAAAACATTTGTAGAAAAGACAGAGGGAAGCCATATCATGTTGGTGAAAAAGTGACTGAAGTTGAGAGATGCCTGGTCAGGGTTGATTACATTACAGAACCTTCTTTGGATTTTGTCAAGAATCCTGAGATGAACAGCAGGGGTATCACACCATATATAATGCATGGATGAATGGTAAATTTATAAATGTGCAAGATAGATTCTGACAAGAAAAATTTTTCAGGCAGGACACAATGAACCAACTTTCCTTGGAGTAGATGTAGCAATTGATTCAATATGGTTGCTCCACTCCAAAGCTCAGTGTGTTGCTATCCTGGAGTTTAGCATCAACCATGCTGATGGCAGGCAGAAAAGATTGTCTGTAGTGATTAACTAAAAGCATTTTTGTTTAGAAGGCACTAAAAATTTACAAGCTATTTCTTGCCCCATTTAGCCATTGATTGGAGGTACTTTTCAAGAGAAGTTTTCAGGTTTATTTTGTCAGGTCTGTCGGATTTGCTACTAAGACAGGAGTAAATGTTTGTGTCATCTGCATAAATACCTAGTTGGGAACTGATGACATAGCGGAGATCATTGAAGATTAGAAACAGTGTAGGTCCAAGGAGAGAGCTTTATGGGATCCCTATGTTAATATGATATGATCTAGAAATGTGCCTGTTCAACACAACCTTCATTGCATGATTTATTAGAGATGATTGAAGGCAAATAATTTTCTCATGACACCATAACCCTTGAACTTGTGTAGAAAGCCAAACCCTGTCAAACAACTTTGAGATCACTAGAGCCAAAACATGATGTTCACCATTCTTATCAAAAGCTTGATAGACAAATTCAGTGATGGTCGTTAACAAGTCGGCAGTAATCTTGGTTTGGTCTGGTTTAGTTTTGTTTTGGTTTACGGCATATCAACCTCAATGGGTTATTTAATGCTGACAAACTAAATTTTTAAATGTATAGCTGGTAATATTTTTTTCAAAATCTATTTCTGGTAATAATTTTTTACAAAGTATTTATGGTATTATAACCTATTTTTACACTTCCATAGTGTTTTGATCCCATTTTGGTGATTAACTATTTACCCATAGCTGGGACCCTAACAGGTGTTACCACCCCAGATCAGGGGGGACCTGGGAACGCCAGCAATTAAGAGGTTGTTTTACGCTCCTCAAAACTGCCTGATCAGAGGCCTTGCTGTCAGGCACAGTTTATCGTCATACCCAGGATGGGGCAGACCTGGTGAAACAAAAATATATGATTCTGATTTATATTTTTTGCAGATATTGTCAACATTTTCAAATATTCCAATTGTTTTTGAGAAACTGTAGTAAATAATACTCAATTTGATTAATGATGAACACCATGTTAGTTTTCTTGCATTTTCATATTGTTTTAAATAAAATATTAGCAAATGACATGCTTGGTAGATTTAAGTAAGTACCAAGATATAATACCTGCTTCCAAGGCCATTTCTGGGTAGTCAAAGTTTTCACGGCGTCCTGGCTTTTCAAACTGAAAAATAAAAAGTACAAATAAATATAATTTAGGCATTGCAGATTTTCTAAGTAAAAATAACATTTGCTATCAGATCTGAAAAAAAAAAAAAAAAAAAAAAAAAATCTCCAAAAAAAACCCTCAGTGCCAATGCATCACCAGACTATGTTGCAGGTACATTTTCACAGGGTGGAGTTGCTAGCCCCATATCCAACCAATTTTGAATTCAGAGTTGTTCTTCTCTCAGACTGGTCACCACCCAAGATTAGAGAGCCCAGTCTGCACTCTTATTTAACCTATAGATGAGTAGAGAAGAGAATACAATAAAGTTGGCTGGGGCACCTCGGCGTGGTGTAATGGTTAGCAAGCTTCAGTTACTACTGAAAAGTGAGTTCAATTCTTACTGGATGCCCCATACTTTCGGCCTTGTGCCACATCTAAGCTATGCTTGGAAAATCTCTACAATAAAGTTGGCTGGAATTTGAACTTGACATTCCAAGGACGTACGGTGGAGTAATGGATAGCACCTCAGATTGAGGAATTGGAGAGCCGAGGTTAAATTCCAATCGAATCCATTACACTCACTTATGTGCTAATACCCTTGGGAAAGGTATGAATCTTCTTCTTCTCCCCGTCCCAGCTATAGGTAAATAGCAGGACAGACTGGGTTCTATAGATTCGGATGGCAACTGGTCTACCGAAAAAAGAAATGGCAACCTACTGCGGGAAAAAAATCAGCCTCATCAGTCATGTATCGAAAGATACATGATCACTTAAGCATGTATCATGCATGGCACATAACTGACTGATGCCCATTCTACTTTCCATGTTGATAAATGCTACTTTCTCAAATTATATTCAAATGATTTTTAATATTTTTTTTTTAATTTATATCTTTGTCCCTGCAGTAATGTTACTCTATTTCAAGTTTATATACGTAAAGGGTGTCCCAAAAATGTTGACATCACTTAAAATGTGAATATCTGAGTAACTACATGTCCCAGGCAAACAAAATTAAATAGGCTTCATGTTGAACAATAAAAGCTTTATCAAAATTCAAACAAGATATTCAAAGGATGTAGATTTTATGACCAATTTCACAAATGTGCACCACATGTGACATGACAAGTTGGTAGTCCAGCTCCTGACAAACACACTGTAGCATGTTTTGCATAACATTCTCCAGCAGCCTCAGTAATTTTCTGCTTAAGTTACTCTAGGCTTGTAGGAAAAAGGAGAAATATAGACCTGTCTTTGCACATAGAAAAAATATTACAAGGTGTCAAGTCAGGTGAATGTGGTGGCTATTTCGACAGCTCGATCCATCATCCTGGAAGATCCTCATTGAGATAAGTCTGCACAGTCAACTTAGTTTCTAAACATTTTGTTAAAGTTTGAGATCATTTAAGCGAGAATTGGCTATTCTATTAGACTACAAAATGATATCAATTTTTTTTGGGGGGGGACACAAATTAGAATTTTTTTTACACTGTTTAATTGTTCAGACTGTTGTTCTCATCTTTGTTGCCATATTCATGATGTTTCAACTGTTGTATGCTCTGGCCTTCTTCAGGTGATTGGAATTTCAAACTGAACCCTTTATAGATTGTTATAGTTCTACATGCCATGCCTCTTCCAGATATTTCAGTTATCTCCCCTTTAACTCAACTCGCCAAGTTTTTGTTCACCTCTGGGTATTGAACTCACAACTCTTTGGATAAAATCACTGGATCCAACCAATGCTTTTATCTACTGGGTCTTGTGTCCTTGAGCTCAGGTGGCCCACTGCTTGCTTCTGTCTCTTTTACCTTCAATATATCTTGTGAGTATCAAACTCTCCAAGCCTTCTTTATTGGATGTTCAAGAAATTTCAGCTTTCTCTTTTTGATTCTGAAGATAAGTGGCTTTTTTGTTTGCATTTTCCTTAAGTTTTCCTCATTGCCAGTTTTCTCAGCATCCTGCTGTAGAACCACATTTCTGTTGCGTCCAGTTATCTCTTCATACATGAAGAACTTGTCCAGCATTCACTGCCATATAGAACGATTGATATTACATAGTAATTCAATTTTATTTTTACCTTTTTATTTTTACTCATGTTCACAAGGCCCAAAAGCCCTTCAAGATACAGGGTCACTGTGTACAGTTGTATTAGCATAAGAAAGGACAAGAGTTAGGTGTATAGACTTGAAGTAGACTTAGTATTTTTTTAGCTTTTGGAGTGCATGTGGTTGATAAATACAATGAACACTTTTTATTTTCTCTTGTTGGCCCATAACATCAGAGGTAGGTAATGGTGGTCTGACAGTATAGGTTGAAACTTCCTGCTAATAACCCATAATTTATTTTGCATTGTTACAGATAGCAATCTGGCAAAATGACATCTGATGTGAAAGTGTATACAAAGCAGAGGTATATTATTGAATTTTGTCATGCAGAAAAATTTCACCCATGATATTCATCAGAACAGTCTGAACATTTATGAAGATCAGACAATGGATGTGATCACAGGAAGTGTAGGTAATGTATTTCAGTGTTGGTTATGAGTAAATGAAAAAACTATTTGGTAACTGAAGGATTTCTTTCCAATGGTGTTATTGGGATCCCCATATCGGGTGTAGTTTCCATAAAAACTACTTTGGGAGTGTTCCTCATATTATATTGAAGATCAAAAATTTATTTTTATTATTACTTTATTGAAAATAATAAATGATTAAATGTTTTACAAATAGTAAACATTAAATTATTAATTTTTTTTAATTTAATTTTCATGAAATCATGATATATTAAAATAGAAGAGCTGAGACAATTATTCCTTTTTGGAAAAAGAAATCACAGAGGATACCTTTATTCCAACCACCCATTTTATTAAATATTTACCACTTTTGTACTGACTACCCCATCTATTTGAAACTAAAATGCATTTTCTTAAAAATTGTAGACATTTCCAAAGTTATAAAAAACAAATTTTATCAAAAGGAACTTATTTTTGAAGGTTCATAAATATATTAGTGGTAAGAATAAGGTTGTCCTGGGTGGCGAATTCCTGCTTTTAACAAACCTAAATATGAAGAGGAACATAAATTAAGTAAGGATGGGCAATAGATATAAAAAAACATAATTCTACCAAGATAATTTTACCGCAATAAAGAAGCCATAATTTTATATACTAATCTTTGCTGTCCACTGGTGATGCAAAAAAAAAAAACAATATTTCAGTATCTGTCTATATTTCTGGGATGAGGTATTATGTACACTATTTACATTATTCGGAATTTGTCCCATATTTATTACAATGTTTTGGCCGTTGTACGGTCCGGCCTTCTTCAGGTGGTTAGAATGTCGAACTGAATTATTGCCCCACCCATCTACTGGAAATACAAAGGTAATAATCATTTGAAGCATCTTTGTACAGAAAGCTTTTCATTAACTTTGTTTTTTTTTTTAATGTATTTGCTATTAAAATTTTAATTCATTTTAGGTATTTAATTTTTTTTAATCCAAATGAACTTAATTTAAAATGACTTTTACAGGAAAATATCTATAATCTTGTGATGTTAATTTTTGACATTTTATACTACAGAGTGTGTAGAAAGTCACTGTGCACTTAAATTTTTATTAACAGACATGTTTCAATATAGAATATAGGAGGAGAGTATGAATGAAAATTATAAACAATATTGTTAAAACCATATTGGTGTGAAATCTGAAATATAAAAAAATATGATTAGAAAAGCATAAAGTAACTCTCTGAACACTGTCTATGTATAGCATTCATCACAAGAAATGTAAATCCTGAAAAATATTTTGAAGTTATCTTCCTTAGGAACAAATCAACATTATATATTGATTTATTAACTCTTGTCATTCATTTTCCATTTGTGCAAAAGAATTAATATTATTTATGTCATCATCTGAATGCAAGGTTATTTTTAATATATCCTTTAAAAAATGATTTCTTATTTGCATATAGATAAAAAAAAAAGTGATAAGATTACTGCATGGTACAAACTTTGAAAGTCAAATTGGGTTATCAAAAGATGACTTTCATAAAATGGTGAGAATTCACTATAATAAATCAAATTGAGATAGCACTGAACATGTGAGGATCTTGTGCATCATGGTCAAAATTTCATAATTTTGTCACTTAGTCAATAATGCATTTATTTGCAATCTCATAGGATATATAAAAAGGAAACCATTTTCTTTCAAAAATTGGATATTAATGATGGTTTAATATTAATAATCAAAATATAAAGTCAGTTTTTTATAATAGCAGAACTAGCCCCTCCCACCCTCCAGTAACAAAATATAACCAACCAGGAGACACACATATATATATATATAAAACAGATAATGAACTTTTGATAATAAAATCATTTCATTATATTCCTATCAGTAACCCTTGTATGGCGAAAAGCAAAGGTCAGATTAAAAAAAAAATAAAATAAAATGCTTGATTTTAAACATGTGAAAACTCTTTGTCAGGCATTACAGGTAAAACATTGATTTAAAAAATGTTTCATTTTGTAACTTAGTTTTTTAAAAGATTAACTTGGCTTTTATGAAGAGTGAATCAGCCTTCAGAAAAAATATGTCTTAGAAACTATTTAGCTATAACAGGTGATCATTATCTCGGTTAATAATTTTTAAGTAAATTTTACAATATCTAAAAAGACACATTGTTTGGTTTTTAATTTATGAAGAGTGCTCCAAAAGTAATGCTTCCTATTGTTGATCCATTATTTTATAGGCAGATGCTGGGTGTATGGGAGTAGAGGTAGAACCTTTTGACTGAAGTTATATTGTTTTTAGCCTTGTTACTGATAGTAGCTGAATGGTAACCATAGAAAAATAGCATCTAATATATATATATATATATATATATAAAAACAAAAGTAACCCTTTACATTTGTTCCTTATAGATGGAAGCCTAAAATATGTCGACTACATACTCTACAGCGGCGGGGTAAGACAGTTCTACCCAGAAGGGGGGGGCACCTATCAAGTAATGCTTAACC